TGTTATACTTTTTTAAATAAATAATACTACAGTCATTTATGTTATGTTGTTATGTTACGTTACGTTACGTTGCGTTGCGTTATATGTTATTGGTTATATGTTATAAGTTTTTTATCACTGGAAGAGAGCAATAGAGATTGAGTAGATTTATTATATGTGGAACCTGTGTGACAAGGTATTTGTTAGTAATTAATTAGTTAGTAATTTATAGTTGTGTTCTTGTTACTTGTAGGTTTAATTACAAATAATTCAAAAATATTTATATATATATATATATATATATATACATACAGTATATATACAAGAATATATATGTATATGAAAGAAGTTCATTCTTACAGTGTCCTTTAACTCAACACAGAGAAAAAGCATCTGCTTAAAAGTGAGTAACTTCTGCTGTTCCTCAGGTGAGTCGACTCCAGGAGCTGATGAAGCAGGGAGAGCAGGGACTCAGTTCTGCTGAGGGCCACATCTCCAATCTGAAGGACGCCCAGAAGAAGCTTCTAGAAGAGCTGGATGCCACGCGAGCCAGACTCAGAGAGACCAGCAATCTCTTAACAGCCCTTCAGGTCTGTTACCAAAAGCAAATACTCCAAAAAAATTATGAGAATGAGACCTACTTCAAAGTCACATAACTCAGCTGCTCCTGCCAGTTTTGCAGACATTTTTTTATTCGATGTTTTTCGATGTTTTATATTAAGTTGATGTGTGTCATTTTTTTAAATATACAACTTTTGCCCTCAGTTTCCATGAATAGCTTCTAAAACACACCTGCAATGAGTTCATCATTATGAAACGAGTAATAGGTGCTCTGTTGAATTACACCCACCTGTGTTTTTGGCCCCTATCAAAGACAATTCATTAGAGAGGCCTCTTCACGGTTCCTCTTCCTGTGTCCTTGACCTGAAGCACAGGTTCTCTGAGTGACCGTGCATAATGAATCAGACCTGTATGAGTGTACCAGTGTGTGTGTGCGTGAGAGAAGAAATGAGTGAGTGGAGAAATGAAATTGATTTCCATCTCCTGGACCCAGTTTGATTGATAGCTGTGAAGAAGAGCCCTCTCTCTCGTCCTGAGTGCCACGTGTTAGACCTCACAATTACGGGTCATGTGCTTAATGGCTCATCAGAGCTAATGTTCGCTCTCGTTCTTGTCCTCAGGGAGAGATGGAGACTCAGAAACAACAGCACGATGCCAAACTCATCACTACCAAAGAGGAAGAGAAGCTCAAAATGGATAAGATGGCCCTGGAGCTCGAGCTGAAGTGGACCGAGACGCTCAGGTAAAGAGCACATGTTTTTGTGTTACACGAGGGAGAGTTCTTGGAAATGTGCTTTCAGAAATATTTACTCACCCCCATGGTATATTAAGGGACATCATCAAAATATGGTAACAAACCTGTCCCTTGAATTCTCAGTCATGAAAAAAAAAAAACTAGTCAAGAAACTCCATATAAAAGGCATTTTAGTTAACATAACAGTTTAATAAATATCCATCTATAATGGAGCCTATGAATGGATGACCAGATTAAATCACAGATTAAATTATGTTTTTTTTTTTTTTTTAATTAAAAACCCATTGTCTCCATCTGGAATACCATTTCTTTGGTTTTATTTTTTTGTTTGTTTGTTTATTCCTCATCTTATTTATTTCTCTTCTTGTATTTATTGATTCATTCTTTGATTTTTTTTTTTGTATTTATTTATTTGCTTATTTTTTAAATAATTATGTTTTAAACATAAGTGCAAGGTCCAACAATTGTGAAAAAAGTAAATAAAATTAATTAATAATATAAATTATCGAATTCTTGTATTCTAAATAACTGTATAATTTATAAGGTGAAATAAAGAAATAATAATAATGTCACAGATTAAATACGTTTTATTATTATTATTATTATTATTATTATTATTATTATTAAAAATGGTCTTTACCTTTGTTTCCTTCATCCTTCATCATCATTTATTTATTTAATTTCAATAATTATGTTTTAAGTATTAATGCAAGGCCCAACAATTGAGCAAAGAAGCAAATTATTATATTCTAAATAATTTCAACTTTAATTTTTAAGTTATAATTTAAAATTTAAAAAAACAATTTGTTTATTTTTTTATTAGTTTATTATTTATTATAATTATTATTGTTTTTGTTTTATGGGCTAAGTAATAGTGAAATTTCCAACAATTGTGCAAAAAGCAAAAAAACATTATTATTAATGTAGCTACTTACTAACAATAATAATATTCACATATAATATTATTATTATTAACCATTTCTTTATATATATTTTTTTTTCATTTATTTGTCAGTGATGTTGTCAGTGTTAAAACATACAAGAAGTATTTCCAATGTCAAAGTTCAGAGTTAGAAGAGGGCTTTACTGAATTCAAAACCTTGACATTATGTAAGTCATGAAATCAACATTCTTGAAGAATATTCTGGCCATACTTTTCCATGACATGAGGGAAAGTAAACAATGACAGATTTTTTATTTTTATTTTTTTAATTTGTGGTGAACTGTCTATTTAAGTGGTTTGTTAACAAGCAAGGCACTTCTCGTTCTTTCACATTCTCTCCTTCTTTGCCAAGCTATGTGATGACTCATGTACCATTTAAAGTTCCCAACAGCTGTAAGTGTTTTGGCGTTGCCTCAAAAAGGCTTGCCTGCCTAATTCATTAGCAATGCTTACAACCAGTGTTTAATATCATGGGCCTTCAAATAAGACAATGGGTCATTAGTATAAGCCTGATTGGACTAAAACAAAGGCCATTAATGGGATAGTTCACCCAAAAATGAAAAATCTGTCATAATTTACTAACCCTTAAGTTGTTCCAAACCTGTGTAAATTTCTCTCTTCTGCTTAACACAGAAGAAGTTATTTTGAAGAATGTGGGTAACCAAACAGTTTCTGGTCCCTATTGACTTGCACAGTATTTTTTTTCTCTATGGAAATCAATGGCTACCAGCAACTGTTTGGATACCCTGATTCTTCAAAATATCTTCTTTTATGTTCCACAGAAGAAAGAAACTCATACAGGCTTGGAACAACTTGAGGGTGAGTAAATGATGACAGAATTTTATTTTTGATCTATTACTTTAAGAACATTTTGGCTACTTTGTGTGCTCATAGTTTTGCAAAGTTACCAGTTCGCCACTAAAACATCCCCTGAAAACTCTAAAAAGGAGCTAACTAGGAAGGTTGAAGATCAATAGATCAATAGGCCCTAAGCAGACGCTCAACATGCTTTTAATGCCAAATCAACAAGACATTTGTGAGTCTTGGAGAGATCCTTCAGGCATCATCAGAGGACAAATGTCGGTCAGAATGACATTTGTGATTTCATCCTTGGTAGCTCATTTTCCACAACATTTGTTCTGGGTGGTGCCCTGGAGCATGCTATTTGGGCTTTAACTTGTTATTTAGGAGAATGTGGACCAATGTAGAGCTTGTTATTGCTCAAAATAAGTGCTGGTAGTGATGTTGGATCTAGGTTGAGAGACTCGTATTTCAAGAAATGCCTTGTTTTGAATATCTAGGAGTTTCCATGGCCTCACACAATTAGTAAAGTCCACAATTAGTAAAGGTTC